AAAGAAAGACTGGGCAAAAAAAAAAAAAATCAGTCATTGCAAACCCTCTGCAGCACTGTTCTCCCCTGACACACGTGGGGTCACCATAAGTCAGAACCAGCTTGACAGCAGCAACTAGTTTAACAATGGATATATTAGTAATGACTTGAGTGAATAACAAACACAAAATTGGAAAGACTATTCTATGACAAGAGTCAGAGTATAGGTAATGTAGTTATTAGGTTTTCCTAGAAAGTAGGAAATAAAAACTTTTCAAAAAGCCTATATTTACTCCAAACCTTCAGTTAGAATTTGGGGCTGGTCAGTAGAATTTTTGCATCTCTTGTTTGAATCTCTAGGAGTTCTGATGGTAGTTAAAGCATTCAGCTGTTGACCAAAAGGTCAGCAGTTCAGACTCACTAGCTTGCTGCTCTGTGGGAGAGAGATGAGGCAATCTGCTTCTGTAAAGATTTACAGCCTCAGAAACCCAGTGGAACTGTGGAGTAGTTCTCCTTTGTCCTTAAGGGTCACTATGAGTCAGAATTGACTTGACACCTCCAGGTTGAGGCTCTTCATCCTTTCATATATCCCTCGTATCTAAGAACTAGAGGGCAGGGAAGGGAGAGTTCTTCTGTACCATTGCTCTTCTTTCAACCTTTCTTAAAAACATTCTATTCTCTGAACCCACACTTGTGGTTTTCAACCAAACAAAAGACAGGCATATGAGTTAAACATTTACCTCAAGTAGATACACTCCTTGTAGAGATCATGGGAGAAAGAAGGGCTGCTTATACACAGGGAGACAGCTCAGGAGGCAGGAGTGTATGGAGGGATGGACACTGGGAAGAGGTAACTATGGGCAAGAAGTGGGAGGGGAGCTGTTGCATTGTGGTAAACTGTGGTCAATGACTTGAGACAAAATGTATATGAACTACTGTATGGAAAGTGAATTTGCTCTGTAAATCTTTACCCAAATCACAATTAAAAAAAAAAAAAAGAAAGAAAAAAAAAAACAACATTCTATTCTCCCCACAAGCCCTTTATAAAAAGTTAACCCAATATATTTTCACTACCCATTTATCATGCTAATCGCCATTTTCTGCTGTCCCATGCCTTATTTACCCTAGTATCCCTAGAACAGGGCCTGACACACAGTGTTTTTGTTTGTTTGTTTTAGGTCATTCTAGTACCAGCATCAGAGGTTTTCATTTGGAAAGATTTGCAGGCTGTTCTGGTTACCTAGTACCACTCTGACAAGAATATACCACAAATGGGATGGCTTCAAGAAACAGGAGTTTATTCTCTTACAGTTTGGAGGTTTTAAGTCCGAGTTCAAAGTGCCAGGTTTTAGGGGCTGAGTGAAAGCCCCTCAATCTTGGGTTTCAGGTCTGCCTCCTGCTCCCGGCCCACTGAAGCTGGAGGCTTTTCTTCACTTGGCTACTGGCTGCTGAGGCTGCCACGCCCAAGGTTGACAAGTAAAAAGGCACAGTCCCGATGTTACCAAACCACACGACAGGCCATTAATTCAAGTCCATTGAAAGTCCCAAGATCAGCAGAGCATGGCAGGCAGCTGAATGACACAGCTACATGCAGGGTTCAGGTGTGCCATAAGCTAGAGACCATTCCCAAAGCCGCTTCTTACATGCAGGAAGCAGACCATATCCCTAAAGCAGCTATTCAGCTGCTTGTGGTAGATCCCACCGTGGAGCTGATAGCCAGTCTCATTATGGGGAATAACTACCACAGCTGCCCAGCCACTCAGCTAGGTCTCCGTTTCCTCTGTATGTAAAACGAGATGGTTGCTTATAATAATCTATGAGGATCCTTCTAGTTTAAAAAGTCTCTGATTTTATTCTCAAATGATGACTTCTTCTAGATTAGATTGAGAAACAAGTTATGCCTTTTCATAAGCAGTAATATGACCTTCACATAGATAGATTATGCCTTTCCATCTCCACTCTTACATAATTATATGCTGGGACACAGGGTATACTGCACTATACCATTCCAAACCATTTTATGAAAAAGATTCAGGAAGATTATTTTTTAGGAGAGAAGCTTTGTTAGTTCCTTTGCAATGTCATGTTGTTGTTGTTGTTGTTGTTATGTGCCGTCGAGTCGGCCCCGACTCATAGCGACCCCTCCTTGGGTTTCCGAGGCAGTATCACTACGGAAGTAGGATTGCCCAACCTTCCTTCCGAGGAGTGGCTGGTGGGTTTAAACCGCCAGCCTTCTGGTTAGCAGTCAAGTGCTTTAGCCACTATGCTACCAGAGTCCTACTTAATAAATCATCTGGTCAAATGAAATGACTCAGATGTTTAAAAATGTTAGAGGGCACAATGGATTGTTGGTGTTTCATGTAACTTAGTTAAATGCTGATTAAAATCACAAATGAAACTAGATTTAAAGTCTACCTAATATTTACACAGTTTAATATTGCTTGCAAATTATAGTGGCCTACATTAGTGCTCTTTATGGAAATACTTCTCTTGTGAATAGAAGTATTTTTTTTCTAATTATAAAATGTACTTAATATTTTTAAGGATCTCAGATAATATAAGAAAGTATAAAAAAGAAAAATACCCATAGTTCCTTCATTCAAAACTTTACTGTCAGCTCGCCACCAAAATATATCCACTCTTGATGACCTTATAAGACAGAGCAGATCTGCCCCATAGCGTTTTCCAAGGGTAATATTTACAGAAGCAGACTGCCACATCTTTCTTCCACAGAACACCAGTGGGTTCAATCAATCAACCTTTCAGTTAGAAACCAAGCTTTTAACCACTGTGCCACTAGGGCTCTTACCCACTGCCAATCCCGTAGTCTAAGCCACTGAGCTCCCTCACCTGGACCACTGCAGTACTCTATGAACTGCTGCTCTGCTTCCACTCTGATCTTCCTGCAGTTCATTCTCCACTTAGCTGATAACTTTTATTATTATTGTGATTTGGGTGAAAGTTTACAAGGCAAATTGGTTTTCCATTTCACAATCTATACACATTATGCTTTGTGACATTTCCTACAGTCCCCACACTGTAACAGCATTCTCCCCACTTCCTTCCTGCACCCATCCCTTCCCTTCATTCTTTTTCCATCTCCCCAACCTCCCTAGCTCTATCCCTGGGAACATGCTGTCTGTCCTCTTGATCTCCTATGCTTGATTGTTGTAATGAGTGTATGCCTGCCTGACTGTCTGTCATTTACAAGCTGCCAGTAGAATCACAAGGGTTAAGTTCAGTTCCTAGTTTGAAGAGTATCTAAGGGTCACAGTCTTGGGGGTTCCACCACTCTACTTCAGACCAGTAAGCATGCTCTTTTTTGCTATTTTGAGCTTTGTTCCACATTTCCCCCAGCTCTATCTAGAGGCTCTTTCTGACCCCTTTCAGAGTGGTCCACCAGTGGTAGCTGGGCACCATCTAGTTCTGGTCTCAGGGTTGTAGAGGCTGGGGTTCATGTGCCCCATTAGTCCCTCAGAATAATTGTTTCCTGCATCCTTGATTTTCTTCACTCTTCTTTAGCAGGTAACTCTTTTTAAAATTTCTACCCACAAGTCACCTACAGGCACATTTTCCACATGAGGAAACAGGTACAGAAATAGAAATAGTAGGTGATTTGCTCAAGCTTCCAGGGCCTATGCTTTTGACCACTATCCTAGATGTCTTTCAAATGAATGACTATCCTTCAGGATGTCTTCTATGCACACAATCATATGCGTGCACACTCATGCTCTTAAAAATAGCAGTGGGACCAACTATACATTTTGCTAACTTGCTTTTAAAATTTTACTTTCAAACTATACCTTAGCAGAAATTCATGCTTCTCTGTTTTACCCATCTGGAGATTTGTTCTGTAGTTAAAAGTTATTTTAAGGAAAAATAATGGTTTTTTAGTGACAATATGGATTTTGACTTGAGTGGGTTTTGTTGTTGTTGGTTTTGATATTAGCATATCAAATAAGTGGGCTGGGGAATAAATGTGGGGAGGTCAGGGGACTTCTACTTTTCATATTACACTCTTCAAGACTGCTTAAATTTTATAATCTCCATGCTTTAATTTTTATGATATTTTAATTTAAAAAAATAAAGCTTTACAAATAAAAAGTAGCTAATATTATGTTTTTGTTATTTCCTTTATTGAGATACATGGAGGAAGAAATGACTAAAGAGAATGTTTGTGTAACATAATGAACACAGATACCATACCATATATAATATTTTATAGCTTATGTTGTTGCACTTAGTGTATTTCAGACATTTTTCACATCATTAAACATTTTGAGACCTCAGTTTTCAAGATAAATAATAATGTATTTTATACTTTCTCTTTTGTCACATATTTTGCTGTTACAGATAAGACCTCAGGAAACAACTGTATTCATAAGTCTTTGTGATGCTTTGGAAAGAATCACAGAGGAATATTGCTTTATTAAAACATACTCTTGATATTTTTAGAAGTAATAAGTAATTGAGAATCATAAGAGCTTAAAGTAAATTTATTTTCTGGACAACTCAGTCCAGAAAAGCCTGTTCTTTTCAAAGAAATACAGTACTTAAAAATATCCAGCCTATTCGGTTTTACATAAAGCATAGTCTCAATGATGTCCATACTTGGTATCTAGCCTATATTGTATAGTAGTTATTTATACCTACTGTTTCCTATTGGATATCTCATATGGTTTTGAATATATTTAGCTTTGAAGAAGAATATAATGATATTTTTAATTAATGTCCTCAATATTTGAAAATGGTTAGTGGAGTATAATTTAGCTTCTTAAGCTGACCTGTTGTTAGAGTTCTTCTTTTTCTTTAAATTGGGAATAGAGAGGATGAGAAAGTTAACACACACTCAGTGACCAGGCAAAGCAGTGTACACTTGATGTGTGTGAAATGTCTTATCATGAGTAAAGCAGGCTTTCTTGAGGAGAGATTCACTGTTTAATTAAGGCATGTAATAAATCACCTCATAGCTCATTATCATTGGTGTTGATACTTGGTCTTGTAACTCTGCTCTATCCACAGGTTAAAGTATTGCACAATCAGCTGGTCCTTTTCCATAATGCCATTGCAGCTTACTTTGCTGGGAATCAGAAGCAGCTTGAACAGACCCTTAAACAGTTCCATATCAAATTGAAATCTCCTGGAGTGGATGTCCCATCCTGGCTTGAAGAACAGTAATTACACCTGGGGGAGAAGTCACATTGGTATATTTCTAAACACACCTAATAAGAATTAAGCAGAATTGGGGGTAATGGGGTGGGGTGACAACCATTTTAGTGATTCTTGCACAAATAGCTTTAATTTTCCCCTTTTTCATACTTTAACAATTGAACTGTTAAATTGGATGGGAATGTGGGTGGCTTTAATGTAATTTCTATAATCTAGACACAATAATTTTCCTTTTTGAGAAATCCTTTTGTATGATGAGGGTCGATGGATATTTCTGTAGTTTGAAAACATCTAATATAGATTTGCACTGACAAGATAAAAATTTGTGGTTTTGGTCCTGGAAATGAGGACCAGTTGTAATTTTTCCAAAGGGAGGTTTACATGATTTGTATCAACATCAGATATTTTATATATGAATATATTAAACATCTTTAAGAGATTCATGTTCATGTATTATCTTAAAGAAAAAAGAAACTATTTTGCAGAGTAAAATTATATGGTGTTCCTGCAGCATCCACACTGAGGCGGCAGCTCTCATGAATGACTAGTTGGCTTGTGGAGTTGTGGAAAATACCTTTGTGAAAATGAATCTGTATCATTGTAAGTTTGTTTTCACTTTTTTTTAACGATGCAGGAATCACACTCATTTTGTAGATTTTTAAGCTTCTGAATTTGCATTACCCAAAGTTATTGGGCAAGTTATGTTAAAAGTTGCTTTTGATTCATAATGAAACTTTCTTAAAAGAATTTTTTTGACAGGTGGACTTAGGAATAGAGATTCTTGACCGTTCTAGAGTCGAAATCTGAGCTTAGAAAGTTAATTTTTGGGTAAATTCCATTTTGATAGAAGTGAATTCCTAGAAACTTTTATTGACTTCCACATGTAACAATACCGTTTAAGCCTTAAATCACAGATATGTGCCTTCTCAGATACAGTAATTCTTATTCAACCAATGTACATAACCCATAAAGAAACCCCTTTCAGATAATGTTTAATGTGTCTGTTCCTTCCTCAGAAAGGAACACTGTGTATAATTGTTGGGTTTCTTTGAACTCATTAAACCACGTTTAAAGTTCATGGTGAAATCAGCTTTTGAGTCTGTTTTTTTTCTTTCTTAATTCCTTTTGAGGAATGGAAACTGGGAAGGTTTTTTTTTTCCATTGGGTAATGAAAAGGTAATGTAGGATAGTGTGGTGGTAACAGGAAGAAAAGAGATTGGAAAGGCCAGTACTATTTTAGTTGCTGAGCAGTGATGATTATGTGTTATGTGGTTGGCTTGTCCACTATGTGGTTCTATCAGTAATGTAATCTTATTAAATGTAAAGTTCTCTTAATTTTTGTCACATACATAAATTAATATTTTGAGAGTTATCTCTTCACTTGTTCATTTCTTTTATGTTGAAATGACTTACTTAAAATTACCATTATACACAAATTTTGTGGATTGTAAGATTTGTTATATATGTTCAGATGCCTTTTAGCTGGCTTTTTAATTAATATACCTGTTTTCAGTGCTTAATACAATGTAATGTGATTGTAAACCATAAACCTATTTTAAATCATTCCTTCCTGTATATTTGTACTTGGAGAGAGCCTTATTTTATTCTTGTGATAGTTCATTTACATTCCCCAGAATGTGCCTCTGGTGTGAATTTTGTATTCTTATTAAAAGTGTTTGCTGCAGTACCTTGTTTGCCTGGCTCTTCATACTTTAAAATAAGAAGCAACTGTTTAGATATCCTGAGTACATATGACTTATCTTTTCAGACTCTAAAAACAAGTAAAAAAAAGAAATTGTGTTCTGTCCGTTATAATTGTTTTTATCTCAATAAGTTAGTCTTTCCTTGCAATTGGAATCTCTTTGGAGACTTGAACATGTCCATTCTTAACCATATTTCAGTAAAATTGAAGCACAGGGAATTAAATAGTTTCATGGATATTTCCAAATAAATATATCAGTGATTCAATCAAGATATTGAGCACGATGTATTATGTACATTGGTAATTAACGAAGGAATAAATAAATTGGCATATTTACCAATGGCATGCTTATTTGTTAGGAAAGTAATTCATATTCATTGTAGAGAAAAATTAGAAAATTAATAGGCAAAAAAAGAAAATCATCCACCATTGAAAACAACATTATCACAGTTATTTTGTTATATCCTTACAGATTTTTCTATATATTTTTACAAAAATGCATGATTTTATAAAAATGACCACCTATCCTCATTGAAGATGACTAGTCAAGCAGTACTGTATGAAACCAAATTAATTCAGTGAATTCCCTGTAATTGCATATTTTAGTTAGCAGTTATTGCATCTCCAACATTTCCTTGTTATGTCTCCAAGAACAGCATACCCAAGTGCCTACTTAGTATATTTTTAAAGCCAATATGCATAAGAGGAAATAACACTTATGGCAAAACTTAATGGATGTTTTAGGTTGAAAATGAAAAACTGTCAGTAAGTAAGGACTGAACTATTCGGATCAGGATGTTGTGGGATGGGAGGTGGAGTATGCTGAATGGCTTTCATTAAAATAGAAATTACTCAAGGAAAAGAGGCATTGAAAAACTGGTTTGTGGAATTCGACTATTTTATCCCCAAACACCTATATCTTAGGGTCTAGGAAGGACCTGGGCTTGCAGTAGCAATTTAGCTGAACTCTAGACTTTAAAAAGTATATTTTCCATATTCAAAACACATTGATTAGTTACTGGCACTTATCCATGCAGTGTGAAATGAAAAATGCCTTAGAAATTATCTGTTTAACACCTTTCTTTTTAACAGATGAAGATACCAAAGTATGAAGATATACTAGTGTGACTTTTCCAACTCTTATCTTCAAATGTCCACCACTCATCTGTCAGTTTGTCATACTGTGGTGGCTTGTGTGCTGCTGTGAGGCTGGAGGCTATGCCATCAGTATTTCAAATACCAGCAGGGTCACCCATGGTGGACAGGTTTCAGCAGAGCTTCCAGATGAAGACAGACTTAGAAGAAGGAAAGGGCCATCCACTTCTCAAAGAGTTGGCCAGTGAAAACATTATGAATAGCAGTGAAACACTGTCTGATTACTGGAAAACTTCATGAATAGCCCTGAAACATTGTCCAGTATAGTGCTGGAAGATGAGCCCCTCAGGTTGGAAGGCACTCAAAATACAACTGAGGAAGAGCTGCCCCCTCAGAGTAGAGCCAACCTTAATGATGTGGATGGAATAAAGGTTTTAAGACCTCCATTTGCTGATGTGGTATGACTCAAAATGAGAAGAAACAGCTGCAAACATCCATTAATAATCGGAACATGGAATGTACAAGTTATGAATCTAGGAGATTTGGAACTTGTCAAAAATGAAAAGGAATGCATAAAGATTGACATCCTACACATTAGTGAGCTGAAATGGACTGGTTTTGGCCATTTTGAATCAGACAATCGTATGATCTACTATGCTGGGAATGACAAATTGAAGAGGAATGGTGTGGCATTCATCATCACAAAGACTATTTCAAGATCTATCCTGAAGTACAATACTGTAAGTGATAGGATAATATCCATATGCCTACAAGGAAGACCAGTTATATACTACTGTTAGTCAAATTTATGCACCAACCACCAAAGCCAAAAATGAGGAAATTGAAGATTTATACCAACTTCTGCAGTCTGAGATTGACCACACATGCAATCAGTATGTGTTCATTATCACTGGTGATTGGAATGTAAAAGTTGGAAACAAAGAAAAATCACCAGCAGTTGGAAAATATGGCCTTGGTGATAAAATGTTGATGGAGATCACATGATAGAATTTTGCAAGACCAACAATCATTGCAAATACCTTTTTTCAACAACATAATCAGTGGCTATACACATCGATTTCACCAGATGGAGTACATAAGAATCAGAGTGACTACATCTGTGGAAAGAGGCAATGGAAAAGCTTCAGTATCTTCAGCCAAAACAAGTCCAGGAGCTGACTATGGAACAGACCATCAATTGCTCATATGCAAGTTCAAGTTGAAGCTGAAGACAATTAAAATAAGTCCACGAGCACCAAAATATGACCTTGATTACATCCCTCCTGAATTTAGAGACCATCTAAAGAATAGATTTGATGCATTGAACACCAGTGACCAAAAACCAGAGGAATTGTGGGATGACATCAAGAGCATTATCCATGAAGAAAGCAAAAGGTCATTAAAAAGAGAGGAAAGGAAAAAAAGACCAAAATGAATGATAGAAGAGACCCTGAAACTCACCCCTGAACAGAGAGTAGCTAAAGCAAATGGAAGAAATGACAAGATAAAAGAGCTGAAGAGAAGATTTCAAAGAGCAGTTATTAGGAGACAAAGTTTATTATAATGAAATGTGCAAAGACCTGGACTTAGAAAACCAAAAGGGAAGAACACACTTGGCATTTCTCAAGCTGAAAGAACAGGAAAAAAAATTCAAGCCCTGAGTTGCAATATTGGTTGATGCTGGAAGCATCAAAAGAAGATGGAAGGAATACCCAGAATCACTGTACCAAACAGAATTAGTCAGTGTTCATCCATTTCAGGAGGTAGCATATGATCAAGAACCAATGGTTCAAGTTGCACTGAATGAAGCAACTGGTGCAGAACAAAGTTCCAGGAATTGATGGAATACCCATCAAGATGTTTCAGCAAATGGCTGCCGTGCTGGAGGTACTCACTTGTCTATGCCAAGAAATTTGGAAGACAACTACCTGGCCAAATGACTGGAAGAGATGCATATTTGTACCCATTGCAAAGAAAGGTGATCCCACAGAATGTGGAAATTATCATTAATACTACACTCAAGTAAAATCTTGAAGATAATTCAAAGATGGTTGCAATAGTATATTGACAGAGAACTTCCAGAAATGCAAGCTGGATTCAGAAGAGGATGTGGAATGAGAGATATCATTGCTGATGTCAGGTGGATCTTGGCTGAAAGCAAAGAATACCAGAAAGATGTTTACTTGTGTTTTATTGACTATGCAAAATCTTTCAGTTGTGTGGATCATAACAAATTATGGGTAACATTGAGAAGAATGGGAATTCCAGAACACTTAATTGTACTCATGAGGAGCATGTACATAGACCAGGAGGCTGTCATTCGAACAGAACAAGGGACTACTGCATGGTTTAAAATCAGGAAGAGAGTGTGTCAGGGTAGTATCCTTTCACCATACTTATTCAATGTGTATGCTGAGCAAATAATCTGAGAAACTGGACTATATGAAGAAGACTGTGGCATCATGATTGGAGGAAAACTTATTAACAACCTACAATATGCAGGTGACACAACTTTGCTTGTTGAAAGTGAGGATGACTTGAAATACTGATGAAGATTAAAGACCACAGTCTGTGGTATGGATGACATCTCAACATAAAGAAAACAAAAATCCTCACAGCTAGACATATAAGCAGCATCATGATAAATGGAGAAAAGATTGAAGTTATCAAAGATTTCATATTACTTGGTTCTACAATCAACACCAATGGAAGCAGCAGTCAAGACATCAGATGATATATTATACTGGGCAAATCTGCAAAAAACCTCTTTAAAGTGTTGAAGAACAAAGATGTCTCTTTGAAGATTAATCTGGACCTAACCCAAGCCATGCTATTTTCATTTGCCTCATATGCATGTGAGAGCTGGACAATGAATAAAGATCAAAGAAGAGTTAATGCTTTTGAGTTGTATTGGCGAAGAATACGGAAAGTATCATGGACTGCCAGAAGAAGTAACAAATCTGCCCTGGAGGCAGTGCACCCAGAATGCTCTTTGGAGGTGAGAATGGCCAGACTTCATTCGACCTACTTTGTTCATGTTGTCAGAAGGAACCATTCCCTGGAGAAGGATATCATGCTTGGTCAAGTGGAGGGTCAACAAAAAAGGGAAGGGCTTTCAATGAGACGGATTGATACAGTGGCTGCAATGATGGGCTCTAGTATAGTGAGTATTGTGAGGCTGGCACAGGACTGGGCAGTGTTTCGTTCTGTTGCACATTGGGTCACTATGAGTCAGTGCTGACTCAGTGGCACCTAACAAAAACAACAGCATCTCCAAACGTAATGCCAGATGAGCATTTGCAATGAAATACTTGAATTCCCCTTTAAGTCTTGCCATGTCATTGCATGATTAAATCAGTGTGTCCAAAGTGTCAAGTTTCTTCTGCTGAAGTTAAATACAATGTGTATTAAATGTCTTCTCAGTGTGTGTGTGTGTGTATGTGTATGTGTATATAAGAGCTCTGGAGGAGCTCTGGTAGCATAGTGCCTAAGGCACTTGACTGCTAACCAGAAGGCTGGTGATTCAAACCCACCAGCCACTCTTCAGAAGGAAGGTTGGGCAATCTACTTCTGTAGTGATACTGCCTTGGCAACCCAAGGAGGGGTCGCTATGAATCGAATCCAACTCAAAGGCAGTGCATTGAGTTACTCTGTGTGTGTGTGTGTGTAATCTACCCTCAAACAGATTTATATAAAGTACATGTTTTAGGCTGGGTTCTTTAGAGAAGCAAACCCAGTTAGGTGTATAGAGAGAGATTTATTTCAAGGAAATGCCTCACACAGTTGTGGAGGCTGACAAGTCCCAAATCCATGTGTCAGGCATCTAGCTGGAGGCTTCTTCTGACAAATTGTTGAAGGGGCTGATAATCCCAAAACCTGCAGGTCAGGCA